ACTCCATTTCTTGAAAAATATGTGAATGTTTTTTTTTTATTAGATCTTGTGTATTACTATCTTAGGGGCTCGTATCGAACCATAGTGAACTCAATGCCATGAGGGCTCGAAGAATCAGGTACGTAAATTGATATTTTCTTTTGAGTTTTTGTTGTTGTCTGTAAGTAATTTACATGCGTTGGTGATATAGTATTCAAATTATTTCAGTACCTTTCGTTTTTTTTTTTTTGGTTACGGGATATGCAGTAATTGTTGTTTGATGATGATATGCAAAATTATTGTTTGCAGAAGCAAAATAGTCAAAGTTTCGGGATATGACACCTCGCGATGTTATCAAGACCTTGTTGACTAACCATTTCTCTTCATGTGGAGAGATCGTGGATCTTACTATCCGTGCTCCCACCCTGGCTTCTTCCTGGAGTTCGGGTTGTGAATTTAACGCGCACCTTTTTATTGTGGGAGAAGGCGCGGAAGAGAAGGCGTTGCAACTTAATGCAAGTGTCATGGGAGGACGCAAACTAGCTGTTAAGGCTTGTTGTTACGAATTTGTTTTTGGCTATACTATCTGAGATAGTCTATCTCTCCAGGTAACATACATAAATTTGTTCTATATCATTTCTTGATTCCTTGGTAACAGAGTAATTAGTTGTGTTTAATTATTTTTAGATCCCAACGCTGAGAAGGAGAAGTCGTGGCGCGAAAGGAAGGATGAGAGGATTCAACAACTACAACAACGTAAGAAGGCACCCAAATCCGCAGAAGCTACTACCTCTAAAGCCCCAAGGAGTAATTCCTTCCAAGCCAAAGTACAAGAGATTCACTAGGAGGGGCGAGGAAACAGTGGAAGGCGTGGCTGAAGCCGCGGACCAACTCTCTAGGATAGCAAGGGACTTTAATTATATAACCTTTTCCTTCACTTTATTCTCTTAACTCTAATCTCTTGTATTTTCTATCTATTTCTTGAAGTATCTTCTCTAAACTATATGATCAAAACAATCATATCTTTGTACCCTTTTTTTTTTTTAAATGGCAATTCAATAGTAAATCTTGTATCAAAAACATAAAAAACGGTTCCTCTTAGAAGAAGATGAAGAAGCTCTTTGATATTTTTTAACTTGTGATGCAATGCAGTCTTTTCTTTATTAAGTCATGAGAGATCTAAGATACG